AACAGTAGAACTAGCGTATTATTTGTTATTCGTTCGAAAGTTAATGTTATGGTGGCGACAGCTATGGCGAACCAAGATGTTCAATTTTAAATAACGGTTTTTATCCAAAAATCAAAATAAAAGTTTAAATTCTCCAAAGCTCGTAACTTTTAAAGAAAAGGTTTGTCAATGTGTTTGATCCACATCTGTGACTAGGGGTTAATGATATCGAGATTATATGAGATACGGGACAAAGTTTTTTTTGGTAGATTTCTGACCGTTTGGAGTTGATATGATGCTCGCAATCAGTTCCATTAAGTTATGGAGTTGATTTTTTATTAGTTTCAAACAAAAATTGAAATTAAAATGAAGAAGTATAGTTTTATGGTAAAAAATCAAGAAATATAGTTTTATGGTATTGGATGGAAAGTCAAATGGAAATGGAGAAATTGAGACGGACCCAAATGAATGGAAGTAACCATTTCTGCTTGATCCAGGAATGGATCAAGCAAAAATAATTTTTTGAGTATGATGAAAATGTGATAAAACCGCTTCAAGGAGAAATTTATTTAATGTCTGTCATTCAAAAAAACAAAATAATAATGTTCGACCTGTATTGTATTGAAGAGAAGCTAACAATTTCATTGAGGCTTACAATAGATGCAGATGTGTGCATTGATAAGTTGAGATAATTTTGAAGAATGGAAAACACACTAGCGATCATGAATCTACGTAATGCTTATATCTTGTTGAAAACTGAGCAACATCTTTCTATAGGTATTTTGCAACAAAAGTTATTTTTTAACACGACTTGGTTTTGGATCGAATGTCTCGCTAAAGATTATGAAATCCGTTGTAAACGTCATTATTGGTCGAGAAGAGTTGGTGAAAAAAATGACACTTAAGTGGACATTTTTATTGATGAGAATGTGTTGAATCATAATTATGTCTGGAGATATTTAAAAAAATATGGTTTGGAGAGCAAAGAAGGTGAACAGATTTTCAGTAATGGGGTCCGTGTATTGGTATTATGTCTCCAAAAAGTTAGCAACAAACTGATATCGTCTAGAGAAAATCAAATTAAAGAAATCCCAAAATAGTTAACCAGGAAAATAGTGTTTTCAGTCTGAGGACAATTGGTGTGTCATTTACCAGAGTGTGGTTGGTTGAGAGTTGTTTGTAGCCATTTAAAAAAAATATTTGTTAGTTTAACGAAGAGTTTAAGAAGTTTGAATGATGAAGTTTGTGATGAGAATGTCAGTGTTAGGGTTAAGTTAGGGGTGTTCAAGAAGTCTGTGCTTAGGTTAAAAGTTGCAACCCAGCTAGTGGTGATTGGGCTGTGCATAACAAGAAAGAAAAGGTGTTGACTGATGGAAGTTCTTTATCAAAACGTGATGAAACAACTACTTGAAAAATACGATATTAAAGTTGATATAAGTCTTGTCTCTTTAAATGATAACTTAGCTGACGCTTTAACAAGAGTTTGAAACAAATGATTGAATAAGTTGACTGGGGATGACATCCTATAAACATGGACATTTTGGAGCAAATCATACATAAACTTTGTTAGTGAAGTGATTCCAAATGCTATTAAAAAAGAAGTTTAAATGGAAACAGAAAGTTGCAAACCGCGTCAGTCAAATGATCTGTGGGTGAATGGTAAAAAATAAACAGTGTGTGAATGGTAATTTAAATGTTGAAGAAAGTTGGAAAAGATTAGCCATAGATGTCACGCATTATAAAACTTAAAATTTTTGAGTAAATATGATTGAGAACTTTCAAGATATGTATTGTGGCACCAACTGTCAAGTTCATACGGAAGTGTTGCCATAATTCAAATTCTCTGACTTATCTTTGTGAACGAGGAGCGTTGTCTGAAATATTAACAGACAATGAGGCAACATTTAAGACTGAAAAAATGAGAGGTTTTCTTGATAGTTGGGGAGTACGTATTGTGTTTTGAGCCGCCAATTACCCTGTAGGGAACGAAATTGTAGAAAGAAACCATAGCAGAATAAACGAAAATATCGGAAGCAGTATATTAGTACAATGCTGCTGTCAAAAAAAGTGGAATAAGACCAATAAAAAAATATATAGTTATTAATATAGTATCAAAGGATTAGGAAAAATAATTCTTACAGAAAATGGCACAAACAAAACTGGTATTAAAGTTTTTTTAAAACCAACTAGTGCAAAGTGCCATAATCAAGTTGAAGCCAGTGTTAACTGGCTTCAATTTGGTTATGGTACTTTGTATATAACCAAAGAAGTAAAACATTTTATGGCACTTTGAATATAATCAAAGATGTCAAACATTAAAAACATTTGCCATAACCAAAGATGTAAAACATCTTCTACAACAAATTGTATAAGTGGTTAGAGTTTCGCGTTATGTGAATCTCAAAAAGAAACTCAGTCACTATGCCTTATTTCTGACGTAGAAATAGATGCAAACAACAACTACGAAAAGATTGTGAAAGAAAGTGAAAACCAAAATGAGGATGTTTCCGAAGCAAGCAAAGTGCACATATATATAAATAGTAATACATATATAAAAATATATATACTTATTACTATTTGTGTGACCTAAAGGATCAAGGAGGAGTATGATAATATTACGTAAAATGCTAGAATACTCTTTTATGCCAAGGATATTGTAATAAATCTGTACGATTTAAGTGTAATTATAATATGTTACGCGAGTTTTTTAGTTATTTTTAAGGTTTATAAATTTTCAGTAGAATTTGTAAGAGACAGATTCTCATTATATTAAGAAAAGAAAAACTTCTTAATTTTTGGTATTATTTTTTGTCAGGACAAAGATAAGTTAACTATCTGAGTAAGAGTTTGAAAAAGTACAGAAGTTATGAGAAGTTATGAGCTTTTGCGCCAACAGGGTGTAACTCAGAGCTTTTTATGTAACTCAGAGCTCCTTATGTGGTCTAAACAAAAGCACATAAAAAAGTTTTCCGAACTCTGTGCACAGAGTTTGGAAAACCGTACTACCTGTCGACGTCATAATAAAACCCAAAAACCTGTTATAAGAGTCCCTGATTTATTACTTAAAAAAAATTACTAAAAAAAAAAAACGCTTGTTAAATTCCTAAAAAAGCCCCTTTTTATACATAAGTACCATCTACAATTAAATTTTAAATCCAGAGATTTTACTTATAAAGTTATATTTTAAAGTGTTAAAAATAAAAGAATGATATAAATCTAAATTCAAGAATAAGATTATAACAAGAATTATTTTTTAGTTACATCATGTTTTTTTAAAAAAAACATGATGTAACTAAAAAAGAATGATTACAAAATATATATATATATATATATATATATATATATATATATATATATATATATATATATATATATATATATATATATATATATATATATATATATATATATTTTGTAATCATTCTTTTTTGAAACATTTCTGTCAAACCCATGGTGACAATCTAAAACTTTATTTGAAAATAACAATATAAGGTCTTCCTGATTAAGGAATAGTAGAATCTTCCCAAAGTACACTATGATTCGCTGTAATTGTATCTAAAATAAAAAATATTGGGTTAGCAATGTAATGCAAAAAAATAATTTGAAAATCCTGCAAAGAATTCAAAAAGTAAGAACACTTGGCAATGAGTTAACCTGTGTTACCAAAATTTTTATTAGCATAATACATCACAAATCTAGTTGTTCTTAATTCATATTTTTTGATACAATGCAGCGCCTCTTCGTGTGATTTACAATGATAAACAAGTTTTGTTTTTTCTCCGTTAACAAATGTTTACAAATAGTTTTAACAACATTTTTGAAATCACAATGACGATAGTATAACAAATTCTTGAGGAAAAAAAAAAGGGTAAACCTACATAAAATTTTGTTTTTATAAAAATATATGAAAAAAATTTCAAAATTAAAGGAAATCTTTTTTTTCTTATACTTATTTAGTAAAATCGAAACAAACCATTTTCAATGAAATTTACTGGCAAAAAGTCAATATCTGTGATTTTCCCATTCTCTTCAACAATTTCTTAAGTAAAAATTTAATTCTAATCTAGAGTCAAATTTTTTTTTTCAAACTTAAATATTTTTATTTTAGTTATTTATGAATTAATCATTAAAATGCGGTATTTAAATTCCTCACAAATCATTGTGAGGAATTTAAATACCGCATTTAAATCACAAATTACAATCTTGACACAACTTATAACAAATTAATCTATACAGAATAAATAATCTTGTAGAATTCCAGTTTCCTCAGAGCTTTCTTCAGAACTGTTCAAGCTTAAATTGTCGTCATAAAATACTGAAAATAAATCCATACTAATATTTACTTTAACCTCGTATCAATTTTTGTTTACTTTTATGCATAAACTCAACGGTTTCCGAAAATTTCGGTTTTCGAGATTGAAACTTTAATATTTGGAATAAAATTGCACATGAAAAAAATAATTTAAGTTTTAAATTATATTCTTATAACTAGTAATTAACTAATTTTTACAAAAAAAAATAGGATTTAGCTTTGTAGAATTAGACGTGTTCCGTAAGCCCATAAACATTTAGCAATGCTAGCTCATGTTTGATTGTAAGGAAGATTATGTGCTGTGGTAATAATAATGGTAGCTCATCAAACTTTGGATTAAAGGAGTTGACACAGATAGCACTGAAAACTTCAATAGGTAGTGCGTTCCATGGGTTCGCTTTAACTTCTTTAACTGTAGGGTTGTTGAAGAAGTTGAAGCCAACGAAACAGTTGCGGTCGATTTCACAATAAACGCCCTGTATTTTTTTAAGTAGTATTTGACTGTTGAGTTAAGCTTTTAAATACAAATAATTAGTTATAAGAATTATTTAAATATGGTTTTATTAATTTTTGACATTCATAGTTTACTCTAAAAGAACAATCTTAGTATTTTAAAACAAAATATTACTGAAGATATATTAAAATTTATTTATATATAGTTTAGATGGCAAAGTGCTACTGGCAAAACATTTATAAACAAGTTTTAGACTTCAAATCAAGTTCATATTATATATAGCACGTCATATCATTTATAATACATGATATCATAGTAATTTTAGAGCATATTGTAAAAGATTGTTTAACTCAGTATCTATGTGCAAATAATCTTTTATCTCAAAATCAGCACAGATTTGTTCCAAATAAATCATGCATTACCAATTTATTGGAAACTGTCGATCAAATGTCACACTCAATAGCAAGAGACTATAGTGCAGATGCTTTGTATATAGATTATGAAAAAGCATTTGACACACTCCTCACTATCTTATGCTCCACAAACTTTCTGGTTATGGTTTCTCTATTATGCTTCATAATTGGAAAAATTATTTTCTTTCTAGCAGAACACGAGTTGTGATGGGTTCCACCACTTCAGATTGGTTACCTGTCACCAGTGGTATCCCACAATGATCTGTTTGAGGGCCTCTTCTATTAATCTTATACATTAATGACATAACAGACCTAGTTAGCTATCCAATGAAGTTATACGCTGATGGCAGTGAAGTTATTTCCACAAATTAATTAAAAAACAACAAAATTTCTCAACCAAAATCACTTACTGCTTAAAAAAGCCTAACCCTAAATAGCTCAACGCCTAATGCTTAAAACATGTCCTGAATAGTAATATAATAGTGTTAACATAAATTTTTGTAGAATTTTACATTTTCTATATATATATATATATATATATATATATATATATATATATATATATATATATATATATATATATATATATATATATATATATATATATATATATATATATATATATATATATATATATATATATATATATATATATATATGTATATAAAAGTGTATAGAATAGTTGAAATAGTTTTATCTAAAAAGTTTAAAAAAAAGTGCATACAAATTTATTTGTCATAGATGTTTACATATTATTATATAGATATATTATTTATTAGATAGATATATTGTTTATTAGATAGATGAGCAGTGATATTGTTTATTAGATAGATGAGCAGTGATGTCGGTGTCAGGTAAAACATATATATCTAGGAATCTTTTGTATTACTTATGGCACATTTCACTTTATGCATTTGAAACATTCAAACCAATCAATCTTTCATTTGTTTTTAGAAGATAAATGCCAATCAAGACCAAGACAAGAGTCAACCAGGAAATTGTCTAGTATCACATTTACATTTGGTTGCTTTTCTTATTACTTCAATGTGTTTATAACTGATGTTTGAAATATATTAGTGTAACTTTTATTTAAAATCATACAAACGAGAATATGCTTCATCATCAGGTAAACAATAACAAATACTTACTAATCTTTTGCTTTATGCATTCGAAACATTCAAACCAATCGATCTTTGATTCGTTTTTAGAAGATGAGCACCAACCAAGACAAGAGTCGACCAAGAAACTGTCTTGAATTAAATTTATATTTGGTTGCTTTTCTTATTACTTTAATGTGTTTATAACCGATGTTTGAAATATATTAGTGTAACTTTTATTTAGAATCATACAAACAAACAGATGCTTCATCATCAGGTAAACAATAACAAATATTTACTAATCTTCTACTTTATGCATTCGAAACATTCAAACCAATCGATCTTTGATTCGTTTTTAGAAGATGAGCGCCAACCAAGACAAGAGTCGACCAGGAAACTGTCTAGTATTAAATTTATATTTGGTTGCTTTTCTAATTACTTTAATGTGTTTATAACCGATGTTTGAAATATATTAGTGTAACTTTTATTTAGAATCATACAAACAAACAGATGCTTCATCATCAGGTAAACAATAACAAATATTTACTAATCTTCTACTTTATGCATTCGAAACATTCAAACCAATCGATCTTTGATTCGTTTTTAGAAGATGAGCGCCAACCAAGACAAGAGTCGACCAGGAAACTGTCTAGTATTAAATTTATATTTGGTTGCTATTCTTATTACTTCAATGTGAACGACATTGAACGATAGAACTTTTCCTTTAATGGGATCCTGCAAACCAACATCAATATTTAACTGAACTGACATCATCTGTTGGAAATAATTAATGATATTGTCATTCAGCATTAGACCATTTTCTATCTCATTCCTTTCAGAATATCCGATAAGAGAGGATTTAAATTCTTTAATAGAATGAACAGTGGTTTGCAATTGCACACAATCATTATCAGTGGGAACTTCATGCAGCTCGTGACAATCAGTATATGTTACTTGTTGAATTTTTAATGATTCAGCGGGAACTACAAACATTTCACAACTATCGTCTATCACTTGATTTGAAACAATCTCTGATTCGCAAAAGTTATTTTTAACTTCTGATTTAACACTTATATTTGAAGCAGCTTTCATAGTATCATATTTTACACCTACTCTTTTAGTCATTTTCCTCTTGTGTCGAACTGGAACATTGACAAGATTAGGAAACTTTAAAGCAGACTTTTTCCAAGTATTTGATTTTGGGTCAGGACGCAGGATAATACCTTGTTCTTTTGTAATAGATTCAGCATATGCAATCTTAAGCTTATAGAGACCATCAAATAAATTATCTGTTGCTAATTGAGATTGACCTAAATGCGTCAATTTTATTATTTCAGTTAAGAGTTCACGACATGCAGCAGGTGAGTGATGACTTGATTGCATTTTATCATGGTCTGCATTCTGAGTGGGGTTACTATTTACATTCATACAATGACTACATACAGTTGAATGACTATGTTCATATGGTGCAGATGCAATGTTGCTAGGCAACAACATCACACTGGCAGGAGTATTTTTTAAATTTTTTAGTTCAGCTGACTCTTGAACATGAGATGAAGTTGAATAATTATTTTCATCCAACAATGGATCTAATATGAAATATGGAGAGTTGCCATAAGAGGGATCAAAGTCAGACCGCGAGAGATTTTTTTTACAGAAAACTGCAAAAAAATGTTTGCATGGATGTATACTATCAAACCAAGAGGGGCATGAACAGGTAGGCAAGTGCTTCGCATCACCAAGATAACATTGGTAAACCGCTCTACTTGTTGACTGAAATGATGCAACATTGTACAATCTGTTGGTGACAGTATTTATTCCATCCAATGATATGCCTTGCAGTTTATCAATCATTTTCATGCAGTGTTTTACTAAAGGCCGTGGGCGATTTACTAAATACACAGGAATGTTATTACTATATTTTCTATAAGATGAGTGTGCTCTTCTATTTTCATCCACATAGCTAAAAACAAAAATAATTAAAACTATGCTACAATAATATTACTAAAGAATAGTAATAGCAACTAGAAATATTTTCGACTGAATATGATGTAAGTAACAGGATAACTTATGCTAAATTGAAAAATAAAATTTCTTTTTAATACATTATTTTTTCGGTTTCTGGGATTTGAAAGCTACTTATTTTTTATTAACCCTAACCCTGACAAAAAACAAAGCCTTATTTTTGGCCAAAAAGGAAAAGAAGATACTGTTTTCAAGCATAAAAAATAAAGTTAAACTTGTTTTTAATGACATGATTATTTTTATTTGTCTTACTAGCCTTACTATAATATCATAATTAAGTATTAAATAGTAATGGTGTAAGTAGATTAACTAACTTGTCATAATTGTGAGGTAGGAATTCATCAATGCAAATACTTAACATAGCTGTGAGAGATGAGCTTTTTCTTCTTTCCAAGAAACTATATTTAAATGATTGATTTGACATGACATATGATTGAAATGGCAACATATATTTAAAGATTATATTTTGAAAATTCCATAATTTTTTACAAGGTTTTTCATGAAAATTTGAAAACTCCTTGAATTTTCAGAATTGTGCAGGACTACCTAAACTCCAACACTTTATAGGATTCTTCAGGACTTAATATTAACCCTACTATAGGAAATCTACAAAAACTATGAAGATTACAAAGAATTAGATTACAAAGGCTCAATAGAATAATTTTTTAAATTACATTTTAATAACATTTAAACTAACCTTTGGTTGCATAACCAAGTATTATTTAAATATTCTCTTAGTTTTGGGTGATTTTTCCACTCTTCTGTCTCTTTGAAAGCATCCACAGCATCTTTGCAAATCTCTTCTGCTTTTGCATTGGCAATTTGGCGAAGTTGTAACTTAACTGCATCTTTTACAGTGCAACAGCCATCTTTCCCAAGCTTGCTCTCGGTGAAAATCACAAATTAGGACACTACATCCTAATAAGATGAACTTATACATGAAATTATGCTGCTTAAAATTTTAGAAATCTTGAAATACCTATTCTACAAAGTCTTACCTGAAAACACATATTCTATTGAGTTTATTTCTTCGTTTGAATAATCAGTTAAAACAAATTTAGGCTGAAATGAAGGATTCCACTGTTTAATGCACGTCAATGCCTCAGTGATAGCTTCAGTTGTTTCGCTTTCACACACAAAAATTGCCACATCTTGGTAATCCGTGTTTGTTTTAACAACTAGAAAAAATAGAGGAAGAGCATACCTAGTTGTGCGATATGTTGCATCAAGAAAAAGTAACTCAGTTCCATATCGCAAAAGCAGTCTCTTTTGCCACTTATCTTGGTATACAAATAACAATGAATCCTTAAGCTGTGGATCATTGTCTTCAAGAATGCTGACACCTTTTGGTCGAAACTTTATCATAGGTTCTTGTTATAAAGTTAATGAATGGAGAATCATTCATTAACTTTATAATAAAGTTAATGAATGATTCTCCATTCATTAACTTTATCAAGCAAACATTCTTGATCTATTAAAGAGCTGCGAAGTTTTCTCCTTGCATTCATCATATGATTCCGAATTGTTTTATCCAGTGGAAAGTAACGCTTGTTTTCTTTATGAGGAATGTTACTTAAACCAAATTCAGCTTCAACAAAATAATCAAGATGTCTTTTCATTTCTGGAACAGTGTTGACACCCTTTTTTACTAACTCTCCAATTTTAATAATGAGAGTATCAGAAAAGGGTTGACTAAGACCCGTTGTCTAAAAATATTGCAAGTATATTTTGCAGTTATAAACAATTTGAAAAGAAAATTAACAACAAAATTCATTTAATCTATTTAAAATTGAATATTAAATGAAATAAAAATGAATGAAAAAATAAAAATAAATTACAAAAACCTGTAATGTTACTTACCTCTCCTATCACATGGTTTTTATGAGCAGAAACACCTGGCATTACTAAAATGTACTTTCTACACATAATTAAATTTCCTTGGGTAGAAATAGCTATTCGAAGCTTTTTGACATTTCATTTCTTGACCATGTTGTATCTCTAGTGAGCTATGAGAATAAAAAAAATTTAATGAAAAATACATATATAGAAAATTTACTAAGCATTTTTACAAAATTATTATTTTGGTATTTTTATTAATAACTAAATCATTTAAAATATTTGTATATAAATAGTTGCTCAGTTGTTGTTCCATATAAGTACATGTTCACATACATGTACATGTTACATTCCATACATATACATGTTCAATATTAAATGTCGTTAATGTTTTTACACAAAATGTTTTTTAAATTTAGTGAAAACATGGATCAGATAAAGCATTAAGATACCTTGAAAAACTCTGGAAATTCAACTATTTCTTTTATATAAATCACGGCTGGACTAGGGTTGTTAACCGGAGGATTTCGTGCAATTCCGGAAAAACAACATTCTTTCGTAAGGAGATTAAGAACTAGGAATTACATTTTTTCGTACCGAATGTTACAAAACATTTAAAATCGCCGATGTTCATTTCGCAAAAGCCACTTTCCGAAATTTAGCATTTCGCAAGTTGACATACGAAACAAAACTATTTTGCAACATACGAAAGTAGCGGTTTCGGAAGTCGCACTTGCGAAACAAACATTTTCGCCAAACGACGTTTTGAAGTCTATAAAGAAAATTTGTTTGCCAGACTGATTTTAATTGTAAAAATTAACATCTTTAAATCCCAAAATATTTATAATGAATTTTTATTTTCAGTATAATAACATATTAAATTTTTATGGTTTTATTTTTAGAAATATTGATAAAAAATAAAATTTCTTTTGAAATGAAAGTATTTCGGATCACAACATACGAAAGAATTCTTAACGGAAATAAACTTACGAAACATGTCATAATAAATATATATAACGATGTTTTTTGAATTCATTACGTATATTAAAAATAAGAATGATGGGTAGAAATATACATGTTTTTTTTTTTTAAAGCATATGAAATTTTTGAAACAGGTTCGAATATGCTTAAGCAAATAGTAAAAAGAAGCTCAAAAATATGCTTTAGCTTAAGCATATTTCTGATAAAATAAACCTATTTCAATATTTTCTAAAAGTGTGCACGTTACTAAAGTTCTAGCAGATTTTAAAGGTATGTAGAGTCCTGTTTGAATACGCTTTTCGAAGTATAGATCTTAGAAAATATTGTTTTTCAATTTTAATAAGATATAAATTTAAGTATAAGATCTTATAGTTCAATCAGTTAGATACGTGATAATTTGCCGCAGAGATCCGGGTTCGCATCCCGCAGCCATTGTAACTTTTGTTCATCAAACTCTTTTTACTTAAGATAGCATTTTTTGACCTCCATGTTCTATATTACAGATCTTTCGTCACCTTCATAATAGTGACAACCTCTCTTCTGTTAGTTATTCTTTTAAGATTGAGTTCATTGTGCTTAATTCTATACGTTTTCCTTGCTTTAATAAGTTCTACTTAAATTATGATGAAATGTACGTAAAACAACTTTTTCAAATAATAAAAATCAATTTGCTTTAAATCTTGTGCTTTTTGTACTAGATATCTGTCCTAAACACTTTGTAATAATTTCTAGCTAACTCTGAGTCTAATATAATCATTTCTGAATATAATTTCCCTGAGGCTTCTACAGCCTATTGTGTTCCATTAAAAGTAACTAGTTTTCGAGTCCAGATATTAATTATAAGCAACTAAAGGTTCACATTACTATACATTTTCCTGATATATAGAATCCTATTTGCATACGTATCATTTTCTGTAAATTCTGTTTTATATAGTTTCTTAATTATATAATAAATAAATAATACTATTCACTTAGTTGAATGAACGTTTAGCTCATTCAGTTAAGACATTTGGCCGCGGAGACCCAGGTTCACATCCCGCTGTTTCACATATATTTCTTCTCTTTTTACTCTTTCTGATATCATTTACCTTTAGAGAGATCTCTCGTTCTTTATAATAAAGTATTAAATTGTTTATCACACATCCTCTTTATACTTTTTAAAAAGAAAGGCATACTGTTTATCTGTTCATTGAGAGTCCAACTTAACGAGATTTTACTGTATATATATGTATATATATATATATATATATATATATATATATATATATATATATATATATATATATATATATATATATATATATATATATATATATATATATATATATATTAGGTATATCTGTATAAACATTTGAAGAATCATTTGACAACATTTTTTTATAATTTTATTATTTATTATTTAAACTGTTGACAGTTAATATCTTAAATATATCGTAACATAAAATCTTTTGCGTCTTTTTCGTAACTGCACATTATTTCGTAAGTATTCTTACGAAATGATTTGTTTCGCAAATGCTTTATTACGGAATTTTATTTATTTATATTTTCGTATTGCGCGTTACGGAATGTGCATTTTTGCATGTGCAACTTCCGCAATAACAATTCTATTACGGTAGATAAAGATGCGAAATTTTTGCAAGTTTTGTTTTTCGGCGAACAACCCTAGGCTGGACAATCAAATTTTTTGGTATCCTGGAGAACAACTTTGTTATTTTGATAGTAATGATCTTTAGCCTATACATTATAAACAAAGATATTACTATAAACATAAAATTTTTATACTTAAAAAATACGTTAAGATTTTTTTTTATCGTTACAAATGAAGGTAATTTAAAAAAAAAATATACTGGTACTAAAAAAAGCGCATGAGAAAAAACCTAACTAAGCAAAGTAGAACGCTAAAATAATACCAATGATGATAATTTAAAAAAGGAAACTAATGTGTGACTGTCTAATAGTATTATTAAAAAAAAAACTAAATAAAATACTCTCACAATTATACAAAAAAAATTGTTTATAAACATAGCACCATATAAATTATCAACATACTGCTGCATCGTTTTTCTTTTTTCTGTACTTTTCTTTCGCTTTAATATTCCTGTCCATTCCTTGTTGACAGTCAAGACAGGTATGCGCTGAAAAAATGAATGGAACTCCAGTGTAGGGGAAATCATTGTCCTCAAAAAACGCTCTGTGATTTTTCTTCAAGAGTTCTATATTAAATAATTTGAAAAACATAAAAGATTATTGTTAAACAGAACAAATTAAAAATACACTAAAAATTAAAGTGGTTAAAATATCTACAATAATTGTAGATTATATAAAATTATTGATCTATTGTGAAAAAAGTAATTTTTTAAATAACTGTGTATGCCAACCTTCAAAGTTTTGTTCCATGTTTCCAGTGCGAGATACAACATAATGCACTGTGTGCAATAACTCATGCTCTTTAATTTTAGCACAAACATCTGAATATGTTAGTAAAATGTGTTTTTCAACAGCTACAGTCAAATTGGCTGTCCCTGCAAATAGTGTAATAAAATATTTTGTTAAAAAGTTATAAAGAAAAGATCTTTACAGAGTTTACGACTCTTCCATTTCACCCGTCAGGTAAATGAATTAATGTTTATGTCTTCTGCTAACATTATTAGTTGTCAGACATTTTAATTTAAAAGAAAAAATGCTTCAAAATGCAACTAAAATATTTAAAACAACATTTTATAAATATTAGAGTCTAAAGTTACTTAGAGTTAGAAGAAAGATAAGCTTATAGAGTAAGAGAACAATTATCATGGTTTTTTATCAAGATTCAAAATTTTATACATATATATATATATATATATATATATATATATATATATATATGTGTGTGTGTGTGTGTGTGTGTGTGTGTGTGTGTGTGTGTGTGTGTGTGTGTGTGTGTGTGTGTGTGTATATATATATTTATATATATATATATATATATATATATATATATATATATATATATATATATATATATATATATATATATATATATATATATATATATATATATATATATATATATATATATGTGTATATATATTTTGTAAAGCTACTAAACTGGCATTAAGTTGCTAAATAAAGGTCATTACTTATTCTAAAAAATAGTAACGTAGTTTTACATTACTTATTCTAAAAAATAGTAGTGTTGAAAAAAAGGAAATAAATCATACCCGATGAGTGTTCTAAATCATAGGAACAATTGCCATCATCCATTTTACAATTAAGGATAATTAGATTAGTTTATAGTTTTTTGTACACCGCACAAACGTTAGTTAATAATGTCATTTCAAATAGATTAACGATATTTAATACCATCCTAAATTAGACGATAAAAACGCATGCGCTAATTTTTTTTTTTGTCTGGATTTTTATGAAAATCGGCAACCTTATTTTGAATGTCATTAAAAATCCTTAACCCATCCGCTAACTAAGTCGAGAACACTGATCTCAAAATATAACTGGATAGGGGATTGTCACAGAGAAAACAGTCCGCCGGAGTAAACTGTCCGGCCGGACTGTTTACTCCGGAGTAGAATGTCCTACATTGGAGTAAATTGTCCTACTTAGCAAATAATTCACCGTTCCTAGCTCGACGTCACGAAAAAATATAGAGTCAAATCTGCACAACTAAGTTAGCGGAACTAATATATTAATTTATAATATTCATAGTTTTTTCAAAAAATATAATATTTTATAAAATTTAATGTATAACCAGAATAAGAAAATATAAATCCTTATCTGATTTATTTAGTTATTATAATTTTTTTATTTTAAATTAAAGTTTAATATATAAATATGCAAATATAGTAATAATAAAATTATAATATGGTCAACTTTTGTGCTGTATTTGGATGTTCAAATCGTTCAAATCGTGAAAAGGGAAAATCTTTTTTTCGTTTACCAAAAGTAGTTTGCAATCAAGGCGATGATGGTAAGATTTTATCAAAAGAACGTAGAGAAAAATGGATAAATGCCATAAACAGAGTTGGTAACTATCCTGATGTCTTCCACACTCGAATTTGCAGTGATCATTTTATTTCAGGTAGAATAAGCCTTTTTACCTTTGAAATATTTTTATTACTTTGAAAGTTTAATATCATTAACTGTTTAACATTTTTATTCTTTTATTTAGGAAAACCTGCTTCTCTTTTCTCACAGAATGATCCTGATTGGGTCCCTTCTTTAAATATGGGGCACAAAAAGTTTACGTTTGAGGTTGAGAAACCTAGAGAAAGATACTTATGACACAAAAATCGTTCATTGTTAATAAGTCGAAATGATTCTATGTCTTGTAGAAACAGCATCACTAATTTAAACCCTTCTGAAGATTCAGTTGTAGATTTTCAAATAGAGAATTTTAAAAATAGTGAATCAATTGTCTCAGAAAGTGTTACAATAGATTGTGAAAACTTAGTAGATGCGAGTGTTCAAACTGATATGAATGTCAAAAATATCTATTAAATAGAAACTGAGTTTATATATAAAAACAAACTTAATTATGATTTGCGTGCAAATTTAGTCAAACTCCATGTGGGAACTATTGAATGGTTTGATACCGATTCAAAAGTAACATTTTACACTGGATTGCCAAATTTGAAAATTTTATGTTGTTTATTTAACTTCTTAAAACCTCTTATAACTGAAAATGAGAACTCAGTTTTATCGTACTTTGAAGAATTTTCTTTGACGCTTATGAGATTGCGTTTAAATCTATCTATTAGAGTCCTTGCTTATAGATTTGAAACTTCAAAACTCACCTCATCAAAAGTATTTTTAAGATGGATTGACATTATGTACTTCAGAATGAAACATTTAATTAAATGGCCTGCTCGCAATGAGCTTATAGAAAATATTTTGAAACAAAAGTGGCTGTAATAATTGATTGCTTTGAAATATTCATAAATAAACCATCTAATCTATGCGCAAGAGCAGCAACTTAGTCACAGTACAAACATCACAATACTGTTAAATTCTTAATAGGTGTAAGCCCACAAGGTGTGATAACATTTGTTTCTAAAGCTTGGGGAGGATGTGTTAGCAATAAATACCTAACAGAGCATTGTTCAATTTTAAAAAACATTCTTCCTGGAGATGTTATTTTAGCTGATAGAGGTTATAATATTGCTGAGAGTGTTGGTTTTTATTGTGGGGAGCTAAAGATTCCAGGATTTACAAAAGGAAAGTTACAATTGACTTGTTCAGATGTAGAAACAACCCAGAAATTTGCCTCTGCTCGAGTACACGTTGAGAGAGTTATTGGATTGTGACGTAACAAATATAAAGTTCTGCAAAGTATTATGCCATTAGATTACTTATATACTAAAGATTCTGGATTATGCTCAATAGACAAAATTGTTATTGTTTGTTCTTCTTTGATAAATATATGTGATTCAATTATTCCTGTGGAATAATTTTTAAAAATTTAACAGGATTGAATAATTAATTGAAACTAGATCTTATAAACAAAAATAAATATTATCAAATTAAGTATAAAATATTTTTATTAAAAGTTTACATTTTTATTTCAATTTCATAAAATAATCGTGATCATTAAAAACTTTGTTTTCTTTTTTAAAGTAGCTGTGTTCTATTAGTATAAATTTATTTTTATCTGATATTTCTTTCATTAATTGTTTTTTTTGGCTGTAAAATTTGTTAATTAGTTCTGGTAAAATACATTCTTCAAAAAATTGTTTAGATTTTATTATATTCCCGTCCATAAATTCCAAATCCGGCAATATTCTTTCGCAATACGAATCTTTTGACGTCCAAATAAAAAAATCACAGTAGTTACTTGATGAAGCATATAACTGACACTGAACTTGATAGTAATATTTATGTGATTTTTTTAAAGATATATAACCAGCTTTATTTTCCAGACAACAATTTTTAAAATCTAATAATTCGCTAATGTATTTATCTCTCATACTATATGGACATTTTATCTCCAGACAACCATTTCCACAACAATCACAATTAATAACTGCATCTCGTGATGCACCAAGGAAGGGTTGTTGAACTGAAATAAAAAACCCACAATTTTTTATTGAAAATTTAAAGTGTTTCTTTTCCATGGTTGTGGAATACAAAGTCAATGCTTTTTTTCATGGTCATTTTCCCCATTTTGTTGCTGCTGTGCAAAAACGTGCTTGAATGGGGTAACATATTTGCATAATCAAACTGATTGGTGGTTGGGTGATGTTTGCGCAGCATACACTCCCGAATTTTGAAGCAGTTTTACGACCTCCCCTAAAGTAAAACCAGTTTTTACTTTTTGCTTGAAGTCGCGTTGTACTCTCAACATTTTTACTTTGCTCAATCGTTATTGTAATTTTTTTTTACAAGCAGCTAGGAGTTTTTCAAAGTTTAAAAATATATTTTTCTGATAAAGATCTGACAATGATTCAGCATATTTTTCTGTTGTTATTGATGGTTTTATAAGGTTTGGTAAACCCAGGAATAATTGAAAGAATAGGTTTTGTTCCACATTGACTAAGATCTAAAAAAAATTTATCAGTTTTATCTTTTGTTGGAATAGAAACACTTTTTCTATGTGCTATTTTTTTGTCATAGATTATGCCTTGAACTTTGTTATTTAAATTTGCAATTTAAATAACAATAGCATTGCAAAGATTTGGGTGATGTAAAATCAATATCTGAAACAGGCTTGAATTCTATCTTTTTAGAGCTCGGTAGTACCCAATAAGCTTTTTCATCAGTGCATGTTTTTGAACTTCTAATTTTAAACAAATTCGTCAACCTTAGAGTCTATGTAACAATATCGTTATAGACAGAAATAAATTATTAGACAGAATGGCTTAAAAGCATAAAAGCATAAAAATCTTTTAATATCTTTACTTCTAACAACAAAATTATCACTGTTTTTATTTTTATTTTAACTTTTTTTTAACTGATAGATCAGGAATAAAATTGTCAAGGCTAGAAGCAACCACTATTGGAGATGGAAGTTACTAGAAAAAATCATGAAAAAGGTTATATAGTGCAAAATGACAGTTTACAGAAGATTATAAATGTTTTCCAGGTTCATATATTCAGGAAGATCATATTTTCCTGATTTATATAATTCATACAATCAGGAAAATTAAAAGTAAACACCAATCAAAAAACTGAAACATAAGATTTTTTTTTTTGCACTTATGAACAGCCACATTCATTGAATGACGAGTAAAATAATGATTTTTTGTAGTCACAAGAGATTCTAGCTCTTTAGACCAGCAGGCTATGTATTATTTATAGAAAAGAGAACAAAAAGCATGACAAAGGTTGAAGGTTAGCTGAAAGAGCAGGTTAAACTATGTTTACAATGCATTTTTTCAGAAAGGGCATCTTTGATGTTTTTCCCTTTATATGGCAACAGTATTCCATGCTAGGATGGATTGGGGATTTATAAAGATGAAGAATATAATCAGGAGTAAGAAAGTGACACTAGTGATGTACAGATTAAATATTTTTGGCCAATGTATAGTAAAAGGCTGATAAAGATTATTTCTCAAAATCTCAAAAAGCAGAAGAATGCTAGATTAAAAGACAAGAGTCGCAATGTTCAAAGGTTTATAGGATATACCTAAAAAAAAGCCAAGTTATTTCTGCAGGTAGCAGAGCTATAAATGGCTTGATAAAAAATACTTAAAAATGAAGCCAAAAATGACCTCTTTTCTAACTTAATTCACGCGTTATTTTATAGTATATGGTATATGGTAGTGTAACATTGGCAATGAATGTTGATGATCTCTAGTGTCTGGAAAGAACAATACAAAAGATGATTAGTTGGATATGCGGAACATGGAATAGTAATAATATCTGGTAAGATGTGCCAAAATGAGGTTTAAAAATATTGAAGTGGTTTAGGCATGTAGAGTGTTGTAACGCAGATAATTGGATATCAGAGTGTAGAAAGTTATCAGTGTCAATAAAAAAAAAGGTAGAAGTAGAAAAACTTGCAGAGAGTGTGTTGAAGATGAAAAGCTTGTAACATGAATAGCTTTATTTAAGGAGATACTTAAGATAATGGATTTTTGAATAAATGGCTTTATTTGAAGCATCAAAACAACAAAGCGCAGACACAAGCACACAAAATAACAACGATGACATTGTTTTACATAAACTTTAGTTAATTTTATTTTATTATCAAAATTTCATTTAATTATTTTCAAAATGCAGGATAAAATTTTAAAATTGGTTCATCCGCCATCAATTGGAGAATCAAGAACTTAATTAAAAAAAGCTGATGCCAATACCAATGCCAATTGTGCAAAAAGTGGCCAATTTAGTCGATGCTGGTTAATTGGTACATCACTAACGATCACGAAAAACAGATGCAACCTTAGCAGATGCTAACTTTGCAATCAGTTTTACATATGATTTCCAAGAATCATTAGAAGTAAGAAATAATCCAAGAAGACACTAAGTAGATGATTCATTCATTCGTTCATAGATACATGTTATTGAATCTAGATTTAGCTTGAAATAACTGAATGTTAAATTCAAAATTATCCAAGCACTGAAAGCTTCATGCTATAGCTGTGATGACATCATTTATAAGCTGTAATGCCCCTCCAAGAAATCAGAGAGTGTTGCGTTTTTATCAAGCTATCTATTGCGTTTTTTATCGCATCTATCTAATGCACAATAAAACATATTGGTAATTACTGTTAAAAAATCATCACTAGAATGAGATGATCAAAATCCTTATTAATGATCTGAAAGTAAGCTACTAAGTTGTTAATGAGAAATTAAGTGTTTTACGTATGAGAGAAATTTAGATGTTCAAGCAAAAGTTAAGATTTGATTTAAAAAATTAGGTTATAAATATGGTTTTTGTGTTTTATTACTTTTTATTTATAGTTTATATTTACTTTTTATCAAGGTTTTAAAAATCGCAAATATATTTTTACCTAATTATAAAACAAAAAAATTACCTGTAAATGCTGAATTAACTCTAAAGACTCTACCTGCAATATCACAGGAAAAACATATTAGTGAACTTTTCCATTTTACATAGAAGTTATATTTTCTTAGGCTAAAACATCCATAAATCTAAGTTCAGCAGTGTCTGGAAAGAAAACCATTGAGTACAACAACTTAAGCTTTTCTTTTCACATTTAGACACTAATTGCCAGTGCGAGGTTTAAACAAATAGTTTTGTTTACATACCAATAATAAACGTTTATTATTGATATTTAAACAAACTGTTTGTGTTTATTCTGTAAATTAATTATAACTTATACTTTTAAACAAGTAAAATGTGCAATAACTTGTCAATAACTTCTCTTTACATTTCATCAAAGAGCAGGCAGTAACGGTTCAAAATTTTTTTATAATATATGTACCTAAGTTGTGTAAACATTTTCAAAAAATTCAAAACATTTGGCAATTCCGTTGCAAAAAACTACCCAAAAGGAAACAGAATTTTGTGTTTCCTTACCCAAAAGGAAACAGAATTTTATGTTTGTTTTTGGCATTTCGGCTTTCCGGCGTTTTAGATTTCGACTCTGGTAGGACAGTTTACTCCAACGTAGGACATTTGCTCCGGAGGAAATTGTCCTACCGGACGGATAGGACCAACTAAGACATTCTACTCCGGAGTAAACTGTCCGGCCGGACAGTTTACTTCGCGGACTGTTTTCTCCGTGACAGGATTGTTTTTTCCGAATTAAGTTGAGGCCTCCCAAGATGGCGGCGATTTAAGTTCCTAGCGGTGAAACTAATATAGATTTTATAT